GAGAGTATGACTGAAAACGATCCAAACTCTAATACTCTGCATACGCTGAAAGGCGGTATTTTCTTGTTCATTTCATGACTTGAGTAATCTTCTGATGTTTTTAATCTAATGTAATGACCTCCATTCCGTACCATTCTGATTCCGTAAAATCTTGTACATTTTCCAACATATATCAATGTGATGATGCCTGTAAACCGGCTTTTCTCATGTTAAATTACTAATATGAAAATTAAATATTTACTTATTTATTTATTCAATGGCAACGTGCTCATCATGTTAAAAACTGAAGGCCCTCGACCCGATCATTGTTGGGATCATAGCTGCACACTACTGAGGAGTCCCACAGTGGGACAGAACAGCTGTCAGGTGCTTCCAGGTTTCCAGTGGTTCTCCATCTAATGTCAGTCCATGAGGAATATCAGCTTGAAAGCTACATAACATTTTTTCATTCGAGATAGTGGAAAGTTCTACAGTATTATTTACTGGATGGCATTTTGAACAAATTTTTGCTCCTAATGTTTGATTATAGGCATTCACTTGTTTACAATATTAAATCATAAATAATTATATTGTACTCAACTGCCTAAAATTTTTTGTTCATATGATTGAAATTGTTTTAGTGACATTGTGAGTCTGCGCTAAATAGTCCCACTAGGATTGTCATTATTTTTACAGGATTTCTACTCGTTTTGGTCTACTATACTTGGTATAGAATAACAATTATGTTATCTTCATTTCCATAGACCGTTCGTAAGCAACAGCAACATTTTCATTCAAGACCAGACCTGATTATCTATACAGGGTTTGTTATTTGATTCACATTCCTCTGAATCTTATATTATTTGGCTCAATGTCAAAACTGTATAGTGAAATTTAATTTTTTCTTTAAAATGATGAATGGAATAGGTTTTCTTGATTATTTTGTACTAACTGTGGTCACTTTAAAGACCCTTCAGCCATATGTATGCTTTGTAAATACAATCCCTGCATTTTTAATACACCTCAACCTTCTAAAAGGTACATATCAAACATGACTTCTTGAAGATGTGTGTATGTATCACTAAGTAGCATTAGCCTTTGTTTTAATCTGCACTTCAGACCACAAGATAAACACTTACAGTCCTTGAACAAAACCTGGTTCAATAATGGGAAACTTGAAGATGCTGAGGCATATACCGACTTTACTAATATATCATTTCTAACATGCTGTTTCCAAACGGAAAAAAATGGTTTGGAAAGGGATCAAGCGTCAGTGCTCCATGGCCTTTTTAATGGCTTTGGTCACCTAGTCATATGTAGAAGATATGAAACTCTAAATGTGTACAAGGAAAATATAGAGCTTTTAAATGAGAATCGCACACCTCTACAGGAAAAATATTGTTAAATTTGAAAAGATTCAAGGCTGACTGGAACAAAGGAATAGAAGTCTATAGAATATTGACATACATAATGGCGATTCATGATGGGTATCATTATTCCTGTGCCATAAAGCTGTTCAGTCCCCTTCTTATGCAATAATAACAGTATGACATCAGAGAATGCGGTCTGTGAATTTCTGAAAAGTATATTATAGGCATTTTGAATCCCTTCCTACACTAAAATTCGTCAAATAACTGCAACAGCAAGTAGCAGAAGATCATGGAAAGGTGTAGACCCAATATGCAAACTAAATGAATATTACAGCTTCTACACTGAAGCAAAAGTTCAACGAAGATCATCATTACCACTCATACCATACGTGCGACTACTAAATCCCCCCCCCCCAAAAGCACTCAAGAAAACAACTTTAACTAGGCTAAGGAACTCTTCAGCTAAATAAAGCAACTTTTTGCTCAAGTAACAATTTGGTGGTTATTTTGTAAAAAAAAATTGCTCACAAACAGCTGCACAACCTTAAGGGAAGCAAACAGCTCACTAAGAATAAAAAATGTCCGCATGTCTTCTTCAAGATAATATTGGTTTCGATTGGTTTAAGTGAGGTAAGTATTGCGTAGCTTGTATCACATATACAACAGCAGAATTCAGCACCTACTGATACTTTAAAAAAGATCTGGAAGTAGTTGTTTAGGAAACCTCACAACTATGTTAGCCTTGAAGTTTAGTCCCTATCACCCTTTGATGCAATCCTACGGTTTGTTTTGTTTAGGATGAGGCTGAAGCTGAGAAAGACACCAACCATGCTAACTAAAATACAAAGCCCGGATGATCAACATAATTAACAAGGTAGTTGATCCTCTCTTATATTGCAAATCATAATGACTTTAATTGTCAGATTGAGGAGCTGGATTGGGAGTGAGGCAAATTTTGAGGTAATTTATCTACAGTGAATTTTTTCACTCGGTCTAATTTTGTTCTACTTTAGTATTTCCATTGATGTACTGAGTTTTAACACCTTTAAAGAGAACTATTAAATGTATTCCGAACACCGTGCTTGTGCCACTAGCAAATTATCCTTCATACTGTTGTGCCTATTATAGTTTAATAATAATGATAATAATGATGATAATAACAGTAGCTTTATTTCAAACAATATGTTTGATACAATTTGGAATTCTCAGTATGTAATATTTTAGCAAATTCACTCTGAAAACAATATTTTCAAACATAACGGTTACTGCAGGTTTTCTTAGGCTGTTTATAACTAATAACAGCTTTAAAGACAATACTGTGAAACAAGCAATCGGTGTTGAATTACTCTTCGATATTTAATGGTGATGGTGGTTCATTCAGTTAGTAGAAGAATGTGCTATTCGAGCTAAGTATCTGAAGAATAGAAATATGATGTATTTTTGTACATACAAACGGCCATTTCCATCTAACATGTCATTTTTCCTTCGTTTTGTTATTAATTCAAAAAAAATGGTTAGTTCAGATCTGTTTAAAAATCCACAAGAGTATATGATACTTTTGAAGTACATATTTGAAAGATTAAAACAATTTGAAAAGGAAGAATCTGATACAATATGTCGGGTGGAAATCTTATTAGTAGCTTTTATCTAAATTGTCATTAGGCAGACCTGATTTAATGAGTTTGACACAGCAGTTTTATTAGTTCTTAAGTGAATACGTAATCTTCATTCTTATCATTAATCACAAATGTCACAGTTATTCATTCATTACTACTGTTTTTATTTATAGACCCAAAAGTAGATTTCATGAGTATTTACAACAATTTTTGTTTCTTTTCTCCTCAAAAAAAAAAAAAATTTAATTGATTTTACCTTTTAAATGTCATCTTTAAAGATGAAAGTATGTGTATAAAAAGAATTTTAAAAAGGTGTAGCTAATATGGTTAAGACTGTAGTTTGTAGAATTGAATCAGTCAAAGGATTTATTCCAACAATTGAAGACTGATCAAAATAATTCTTCCAAACCATTCAAATTAACCAACCTACTGTCAAAGTTGGAATACTTTCTTTCAAGAAGAACAATCCAGTTTTATTCCATAACATTTTAAACTTAGTTAGCAAACTACATATTTAATATTATTTCAGTCACTATGCCCAATAGAGTTCATATATGTGTAATAATGATGAAAGACCTACGATTTTATTCATAACCCATTTATAGCTTTCGTAACTGTTATTTTTCTCTGTGCATCCAAATTCTTACAGCTTTGAACAGTTTATCCATCATAGCACTTTGACCCACTATTATTTTGCCACCTTTTTAGCCGTTTGTTGGAATGTTACCCATGTACAGTATTTTATCTCAATGTTGCATTGCTACGCTTACTTTATACTATCCAGTCTCCTGTTTTCAGATTTACTTTCAATCTATCAGCTTTTTAAAAAAATACTCAGGTGGTTTTGGTCTTTATTGCTGGATGAATAGGACACGTAACTGTTCGTAAATAAAAGAAGATAACCGCCACCCAATGTCATCGTTGAGTATTTGTCCTCACGACCATCAGGCTTTGACTCCACCGGTCACGACTTGTCATTGGAACTTCGGGAATACTTCTCGAAGCTAGTCACCAACGAGCACTAGTTCAATTAAATTTTTGAGGGGGTTGTGGTAAGTGGTTAGTTTACAGATTCATCTGGATTGCTAGACGGAATGCATATCATGAATTGAAGTATTGGTTTGAAAATACTGAAGCATCCTGATCTGGAGAAAATGGTACCGGATAGAGTGAATCATTCTTATTCACGAATTCCAAGATATAGAGCAGTAGATCGTAATAACTGACTATTGTAGCCGGGTATATTAATTAGAAAATGCATTATATGCATATAAAAGTTTTCGGCTTTGAGTCTCAATGCACATTCAAACATTTGGACAAAGATACATCTCAAGTTGTTATTCATCGAAGACTGACATCAGTTGGAGGAACAAAGGAAACCTGGGAGCACTGAACAGCTGTTTCGTCCTAGTATGGGTGGCGGTTTGCGCTATATCGTGAGCTAACAGAAGTTGGAAATATGGAGCACTGGATTCTGACCCAGTGGCTCAATGGTAACGCGCTGGCCGCGGAACCTGAAGGTGGCGGGTTCGATCCCTGCTGGTGGGGTCGTGGGTGCGCACTGCTGAGGAGTCCCATACTAGTCGGACGAAACAGCTGTCCAGTGCTCCCAGGTTTCCTTTGTTCCTCCAACTGATGTCAGTCTTCGATGAATAACAACTTGAAATAATTCAAAATCTCCACAACCCCCTCAAAAATTTAAAAGAAGATAAGTAATTTTCACAAATTAATCACTAATTGTTGTCAGTGTGCAGCAACATGGGATCCCTAGTTTCCTGTCAATTGACGCCTAACCCATAACAAGTATTTTTATCCTTCCCACACTGGTTTGTTTCTTTCAGAACCATCTAGGTGTGACTATCCTGCATCGGTTTACTATATATACTTTTAACTCAGATTCTAAATGATACGTTTCAATAGTGATGATAATTAACCCCATTCAATCTCATAGATATATATATATATATATATATATATATATATATATAAATGATGGCAGCAACTCTTTGTCTACATCAGTTTGTTATGAACTTACAGACGTTGCAGTTGTTTCAGAGGAGTAAAGACATTATCTGGAAGAGTGTGCAGTAGGTTCGAATTCAACTTCCTGAAAGAAAGACAAAAGAAATTAATAAAAGGTAAGCAAATAATAACACTCTTGTATGTCATACATTAGTCATGTCAGCAAGTATATGAATGAAATGACATGGTAAAACGTTATCCCATCAGCTCAATTTCACCATCAACATATCAGCCAAAAACGATAAATTAAACTAATTATACCAATAGCTTACTTCTTAAGAGAAACAGAGTTTTATGTCTCTGTTGTATATTTGAAGAGTTTTCGAAGTAGAATGTTTAAAATGGCTGAATGATAAGCAGTATCATCATTTTATCCGAGACCCATCAGTTTGACAGACTTGCCGTTCAGTGACGGATATGTTTCAAACGTCGACTCAAAATTAACCTAAAACAAAAGATTTAACTTAAAGGCTACCAAGTTTTGATACCCGATTCTTACTCAACAAGCAGAAACGTTTCGCCTAGGTTGATGGTTCACCTAGTGATCATTACCAAAATGATACCATGATTCAGTTGAAGAGGATGTCATGACCTTCAAATCCGAGGTCAACATAATCACACAAGCTAATAAACTCGGTCTGTAAGGTCAACACAACAAAATTATAGGCTTCAGCATATGAAGAGTTAGCTCTCGCTGGAAAAGATTTTTTCTGATCAGTAATTACTTCAGTGTCTCCTCCTATCTCTGTAGTAAGGTTAATTAAAGTTTCTCATACTACAAGCAAACAAATAACTTATGATTTCACTTTGAGACATTCGGCACATATATTTGTTCTTCTTGATATTGGTCATAAAATTAAGTAGAACATTTGGTTGTTAACTCATCATCATCAATATCAACATAGGGCCAGGCATTGTTGCGTAACAGTCCGAGTTGACACCCATATCACTACATGAAGTAAAAAGGCAGTGAAGGACAAGATGAAGTAAAAAGAACTCAGTCAAAAGAAATATAAAGTACGAAAAGAGGGAAGGGCAGAATGAGAAAATGGTGAGATTCGGCATAGCGTCGTTAAGATGAGGATAATGTGTGTATACATCTGCACCACTGACATCGGTTCTGAGCCATATCACCTAGGGTCTCCAACCACTGGTTCCTCCTGTCCCGTGGACCCCAACCACCTAGTCTGCATCGCCCCACAACTCAAACCAATGGTCAAAGACTTCATACATTTGTGACATGTTTTAGTCTGACCACCTCGGGCCTTTTTCCAGCCTAAACCTACTTGGGCCAACATTGGGTGACGAGGCAGACGGCGACTAGGCATACGTAGTACGTGTCCCAACCATTTGAGTCGATGAAGGTTCACAACCGTGTCAACTGATTTACCTCTTCTCCTTAAAACTCTACATCGGACCTCTGTATCACTCACTCGCGTAGTAGCACCACGAAATAGGGCCTATACTACGCAGGAAACGGTGGTCAAACACCTGAAACCTTCTCATGATTTCCACCTTCACTGGTCATGTTTTACAGCCATACAGTAGGAGAGAACGGACTGTTATGCAGTACATGCGACTCTTAGTAGACAATCGGATATCACGACGGCACCACAGGTGATGTGAGTTGGCAGGAGCCAACCAAGCCTTTTGTATCCGTGCAGAGATTTCATCGGCCACTGAGCCATCAGGGCTTCTCCTACTTCCCAGGTAAGTGAAGTGGTCAAAACACTGAACTACCTCACTCTCTATTGTTAGTCGTGGCACCGCTGAAGACCAATCCTGGAGCAACAATTTGCATTTCGGTGGTCAGAAATGTATCCTGAACATTCTCAAATTGCCACTCAAATTATTCAGAAGACTCTGGATCTTGTCAGCGTCTTCACCCAATAGGACCATGTCATATGCATATTCTAGGTCTAACGAAAATTCTCCTGCGGTTAGGTCAACTTTTGTGTAGCCAGCTGACGAGAGGGGTTGTTAACTCAGTGGAGTATACATGAGGAAATCTAGAAGGCCGTTTTGAATATTCCATCCTTCTAACTTGAATTACTTTGTTATAAAGGAAGACTATTGCGGTCAAAATTACCTCTGATATTGCAGCTCATAAATCTCGGTCTTTGACTAAACCCAGTTGATCGACCTTGATTGACATATACGCTTTTTTACAGAGCCCTCAATGTTGCAAGTATTTGTTATCAGTGATAGGTAGTGGCTGATAGTGGGATGCAGGACGCGCGTTTCGTTTTACTTGAGACTCATCAGGTGGGTATGCCTGCCTGTCAGTGATCGTTTTCTGACTAAGACTCGGACCCAAGACCAATCACATCAGATACCGGGATCTTTCCCTCTAAGCAACTCAGTTATGATAGCCACTCCTTGTGTAATACATGTGGTATAGTTTTTATGTTATAAATTGTACATCTCCATCGTCAACTGGATTAAACTGATCGGCCGATGTGCAAGTCACACTATATTGTCGTCATAGCATCAAAACGATGCTATACTCGTCGCACAAGGAGTGGCTATCATGACTCATTGGTTTAATGGGTAACGTTTTCATATTCCAAACAGTTGGCTGTGGGTTCGAGTTCAACTGGAAACAGCAGCACTTACTGGGAGGCAGACAAATCCACCTTATGAGTCTCGAGTAGGATGCAGTCTGTTTCCTGAGTTCTACTACAAGCCACTATCTATCATAAATGTCAGAAATTTCTTTTGACAGAATTATATTTAAAAGGTAAACACCCACTATCAAGTATAAATACTGTGCACGTTTAATGGCAAAAATGTCAGCACGGTTTATAAATCGGGGCTTCTAACTTGACTGTAATCGGGAAAATAATAAAGGAACAAAAGTTATGTGAAATGATTGAAATACTTGAAAAAGTGAATAACCCTGACTGAGTGTGAATCAAATAATGAAGACTGAGCAATAAACTGGGCATTCAACTATTCGCAAGGAACAGAGTGAGGGATAAGAATTTAAGTTGCAAGATTTATGTAATAACAGAATGAAAGTCAGAAAGGAGATAGTTAAGCTTAATATCTAGGCTTAAAATTTGAAGTTTGAATTATGAGAATGAGTGAGAAATTTGTATTTGGATATAAAATTCTGATCTTCATTTTTGTCTTGTGAAAGCTTATCTGCCTCTGTGAAAGATTACATTGTATGTTTACCATAAAAATTAATCTTTCGGAACCGCATCCATTGGCAATTAGGTGGTATGAATTCCGCAGTGGTATCAGGTTGAACTTTTTATCGGTATGCATGAAATTTTACTGAGCTTTGACGGAAGATAATGGGGTCGACAGTGAATAAGCCGCTTCCTTTTACGGCTTATTTATCTAGCCTTACAGTAGCAGACGAATTTATATATAAATGTGGTCAGCTGTACTAGTTTATTCTTTATACTCGTACTCACTGTTAGGTGATTGGTGTGGGTAATTTGCACAGTGATCGTCCAGAATGTTCGTTTGATAGCCTTCCCCATTGTGCATTTAGGCACCGCATCTGCTGTGTCTCCATTACATTTGGAGTTCTGATTAAGCCTCTTCTCTACACTGATAGAAGACAAATAGGCAGTATCACAGTTTAAATCTACATGTAAGGATCTTCTTATGATCTGTTTCAGATGAACATTAATAGAAGTTTCTCTTCTAAACTACTAAAGTGCACCACGCTGGTGAGTTTCCTAACCTACTTACCACATTCCGAAAGGGACTGATTGAATTCTGTCAGCACCTAGACAATATGAAGCTGCTTGCCTCACAGTGTTCAATCAGTACGTCTAATCCAATTTTACAGGAAACCGGTTGATCAATGTTGACGTCTTTAACTATAGTCCTGGATAGTGGGCTTCAAATCTCTCAATAGATACCAGTTTTCTTGAAGTTAGAAGTGTGTTGTACTGACTAGTGCCAACAAGCACAAAACCTAGGCCGAGGTCTACTGTGGATTCTTTCCGGACACCTAAAGTTTTCGGTTACCAAGACTAAGTGCCTTTCTCTTTCGGTCTTCAATTTACTAATAAGTTAACTGTTTAACCTAGAAACTAATTGCTTATTCTCATTAGCATCGATAACTAGATAATTCCCTTTGCTACACATTCTTCATTTCTTGATATTAAAAAGCCCTCATTTTACCACTGTTACTTATTAAAAGTGCCAAACGTCCTAGTGATTCTTACATATCTTTAGTTCCTGTGTTGTTTTCCTGAGCACAACGTGGTAAGAACTATGGAACTGCAAGCAAAAAGTTGAAAAATGTTTGCCATTGGTTCTGCACAACAATTACATTTAAAGCTATTGTACAGCTTTTGAGAAAAGTGCCCGGGAAAACATGTGTTCAGTTTGGATGGTTGTAGGCATTGACTGATTTCATGGTAGTATTCATCATAGACTGACATCGATTTTAGTATCAGTGATAATCAGGGATCATTGGAAAGTTGTTGCGCATCCACTATCCCGCATGAAATAGAACCTAGGTCCATCAGACCTCGCGCTAATGGCGCTGGAGAACTATCACGCTATTTTATAGATCGCTAGAAGTAGTAAAATTGGGACTATTCGATTGTAATCTACTGGCTGAGTGATAAGGTGCTAGCTATAAGATCTAATGGTCCTGGGTTAGATTTCAGTTCGGGTAGCAGTTGCCTACCGTTAGAGATTCCCATACTAAAACGAGACAGATTTCTAGTGCTCTCAGGTTTCTAGTTACTCGTCAACTGGTATCAGTTCAGAATGAGTACAACCATGAAACAAATGTGTAAGATGAAGTCTCTCCTAGTGGCTTAAATAGGGCATTAAGCCTTCATAGAAGAACAGATTTTATTCTTCTAAAAACTGGTTCTGTCTATATTCTAAACAATCCTTACTAAAAAAAATTAAAAAGTGAACCGGTATCAATTAGAAGAAATCTGTGTGTAATGTTTCAAGGAAATGTGAGTTGAAATGCTCCCTGTTAAGTGGAGAAGAAATATAAGCCAATTAATAGTTTACACCAGTCAAAAATCAAAATAGAATTCTTCTTTTTCTACGTGACGCTTACTGAGTAGACAAACAGTTGAAAGAAGTTTGATTTTTTATAGGTACTTAAATCTCTTTTGAACATCTGTATGCTCTGCCAACTGAGCATCTACCCGGAAACCTCGAATCCAGCCGTGGTCCAAATTTTCATTTCACCTTCAATCATCACACAGTATAAATACTAGTCTGCCAAACTACTTCTATCTTGGATAATTAAATGATATTTTATCCACCGAGTATTTTAAGTATTTTATTTTGATAACTTCATGAGAAAACTCGAATCTGAAATGTCAGTGATAAAATTAATAAAAGTAGAGTGGCTACATTTCTTTCTCTTCTTATTGTAGAAATTTCTGAAAGATACTAAAATCACCTCATTCAAGTAAGAATACCATGAAACCACTTGTTACCATCTATTCATGCATAAATTAAAAATTGCATTAAACTTACAAACGACGTAAATTAGTAAGTTTATTGAATGTATCTGGTTCAATATTTTCAATTTTATTATTCGATAAGATTCTACAATGTAAAAAGAAAATTAGGGAGGTTAATATTTACTTGTGATCATTTGCAAATTAATTTTTCTTTTCAACAACTTTACTTGAACTTGGCTTTTATGTTCAAAATATTTTATTCGCTTATTGTTTAACAAAAGTAATTGAATTAAACGCGTAACATATAAATTGATGAAAGGTCAAACATGCTTTGTTCTCAGCACTAAAATAAATTTTAACCCTTCTAGAATAATATTCCTGAGGTATTTTGATCCAACTATATTAGATTATTTAATGTGATATAGTCAACAATGATAGAGTGTTATTTACTAAATGATGTTTTGAGTAGCATTTAGTGCTCATTATCATTTCAAAGTCATCATAGGACTTTCAAAGTTCAGTTTGACAGTTCACTAGTTCTACTGGAAACAAATTTATCCAATAAATAATACTGTATCATTATGTCTCATGTCATATGAACAAACTAGTATCGAATCCTACTCAACTACAATCATCAAGTGTTACTCCTAATACATTCGTAGATGGGAATTGGTTACTTCACCAATTTAGACATGTATTGCGCTAGTAACTTAATGCTGTTAAAAACAAATGCATATTTGTATAATCTGTTGGCAAAAACTAACTTTGCACTAGGATAGAGTTTCAAGGATAAAATGACTTGAAAAAGGGCATTCAATGATGGAGTTGTGTTATGGACAGAAGTTCAAACACTTATCAATTCTAATATCCCACCACATACGATGCACAATCTCTGTATACGAAATTACCACTGTTTCATGTATATATGTCCAAAATTTTCATAATATAAGGGTGATGTGTTTATTTCTAGTATCAAAACCTAAATTTTTCTGCTAACGACTTTCAGAATTGTTTAGCCTTTGTTACTGCATAGTTCAAACATGCAGTATCCTGGATACTACTCTGGTCTGTCCTGGTCATAAGTACTGAAGGCCAACAAACTCAGAAAACAACTAACTTCAAACAGGAGATAGCTATTATTTCTCAGTAATTTGCTGAACAATTCTGTACCATTTGAGATAAGGCGAAATGAGGTTAAGTTTCTTCAGAAATAACAAGACCCTGATATACAGGTACCTGAATGCGATTCACGTTTAATAGAATGAAACATAGCTCTCGTATCACTCTCCTAGTCACTACCAAGTATAAATCTATCATTTGACTTGGTAATTCTAAACAAACGATTTATGTTTCGAACTGCTCTAAATTGAAGGACTGTCACGGGTACGTGTTAGGTACAAATGATACTACATATTTTTCTAGATACCTCACATTTTCATCACAATATTTCTAAATATCATACACTATAAACAAAATTTCTCAGCGTGATAAATATGGAAAATTTAATTCTGACCACATCAGTCGACGAAAAAGAGTTTGTTCCAACTTATTAATGAAGGTAGTGAACGGCGTACTTTTCAACGGTTTTCAACGTCATCAAACAGTAGTTGATAACAACCTAATTATCAATCGTTTTTCAACTGGTACTTGTTTTTTAAAAAACTAGTGTTTAATATTTTACATTCGGTAATTATTTCCTGTAAGCAAAAGAACGCACATTAGATTTATGTATTTATGGATTAACTGGAACAGTTTCCCAAAAATACTACGTAATTTGCTAAATTTATGTTCATCGCCCATTACTGGGCGACAACTCAGATGTTGATAACTGGAAATAAGTAACGATAAATTTCATTTCCATACTGTACTACAATTTTTTTAGATACTAAGAAATTAACTTTTTTTTACAGATGGAAAGGTATCCGAACTTTAAATTGACTAGAGACTATTTCATTCTATTTAATGGATTCGTTGACATTCAAGCATCACTATTTATCAGTAATTCACCTTTTTCTGTTTTAATTTACAATCAAAAAGTGTACGTTATTGTAATTTTTCACTTCATCAAGATGACACACTGCATCAGTTAGATTTCATGCCACAGTAAATTGAATTATGTAAAGGATAGAAGTAAATAAGGTGAGCATTGTATAGATTATTTTTAATATAAGTGCACCTGTAAATTTCAGTGAAGTAGAAAAGTGGGTTTTGGATGTCCCATTATCTTACGAAATAAGCATTTTCCTTTCATTCCCACTGAATGTTAGCAGAATAAAGGTCTCTGGTGCACACATGATCTTCTAAATGAGGCCAATTAAATAATTGCAAAATGAAAGTATTTCTCGGCAACTACGTGGACGATATCAAATGCTTAATTTACTCTTAACCACCACCTAAGAAGTCAATAGCTTGTTGAACAATAAACGTTAAATCGAGAAAATATGGGTTCCTTATTATTAACGTCAGATTCACAATTTTAAAGGTAATCACAGTAAATAAGGTTGAGAAGCGAGAGGATTGTTTTGATGTATGATGTTCAAAGACTAGACTGCTACTTTCACATTTAAGCCAAAGAATAGTGCAGATATCGCAGTTAGCCGTTTGGTTTTTCAGTTTTGCTATATTTATGGATAAACTAAACCGATTTCTTATAATTTCATAAAAGTTGCTCAAAGAAAGTTAGTTATAAATGCAAGAAAAAAGTACTGTTCGACTATTCTTTGCTTATCCTTGTTTCCATGCCTAAAAAAAGAATTGGTAACAGATTTCCGGCAGCAATGAAGGCTTTCTTGTGTTCTGTGTACTTTATTTCTTATTAACCTTTTACTAAAATAGATCAATTACATTTCCATTATCAAAAATATTCAACTTTCAGTATCATTGAAAAGTTGAACCTCCCCCGATAAATATACGAAATTATCCCAGAAAAAGAAAATTGGGGGTATGTGAACAAAAGAGTAATTAAAACCTTTAGCCATGTAAGCGAACTGCATATCTGTTTGCTAAGTAAAATGATACCTTATATATATATATATATATATATATATATATATATATATATATATCTGGAGAGAGAGCGAGAGAGACAGACAGACAGAGAAGAAGAGGTAAATTGGAAACTGCTTCAACACTACGGATTAACACAAACCTTTATCAACCTCATTCAACAACTATATGAAGACGCCACATGCCAAGTAACTCACAAGGGGAAGCTCAGTGATGCTTTTGAAGTGAAGACAAGAGTGAAATAAGGTTGCCTACTATCCACCATGATATTCCTGATAGTGGTCGACTGGATCATGCAACAAACAGTGAGGAGAGAGAAGGGGAGCATACACTGGTGGCACCGGGGAAAAGATCGTAGAAGATCTGGATTTCGTCTGTGATGACTTGTGTCTAGTGTCGCACAAACTCGAAGATCTGCAGGCGAAAACTAACAAGTTGACAGAAGAGGTAGGGTAGCGTAGGAAGATGGGACTTCAAGTGAACGTGGAGAAGACAGAGGTGATGAAGATATCCAACCAACCAACAACTCCAACAACAACAACAACAAACTCCGATCCCCATGAACAGGAGAAACCTGAAGGAAGTAGCCTCCTTCACCTGTCTAGGCATGCAGCACTGTTTAAACTACAGGCGATGCCACAGATGACGACTTCAAAGCCAGCCAGGATTGGAAGAGCAAGACAGGTGTTGATTAGCCTGAAACCAGTGTGGAGATCTTCTGCACTGCACTCAGCATAAAGCGTAAACAACATCCGGATTTTGAACACCAACGTGAAGTCAGTGCTCGTGTATGGTTGAGAGACTTGGTGTGTTACGAAAGGGATTTCTAACAAACTACAGACATTCAACAACAACTGTCTACGCTGGCTCCTTACTGAAGCTCAGATGGCCAAAATAGTCAAAATAAGCAACAAGGAACTCTGGGATCGAACTAACCGTGAGGCTATCGCTGAACAAATATGCAGTGTAAGGAAGTGGAGATGGATCGGGCATACACTGAGAGGGCCGATTGGGGACATCACGCACCAGGCCAGTTGCTTGAGTGGAACCCAGATGGGAAGAGACGAGTTGGTCGTCGGAGGTGAGAGTGACATGGAGATCGTGTGAGGAGGAAATGAGAGGTTGTGGGTTGTCGTGGAGCCAGGTTCGAAAGATTTCAGAGAACAGAGTACACTGGAGACGTGCTACTGAAGCCCTATTTTCCATTAGGAACCCAAGGGACTAATAGTAATTATATATATATATATATATATATATATATATATATATATATATATATATATATAAGGCTGGATAATATGTATTGCAGATTTCTAGTTTTTTTTACTGTTGCTTGGAAAAGCTGTTTTCTGTATACTAGTTGAAACTTTTTATCATATACTAGTGGATGACGCGCATTTATAAGATGTACTTCATGTTCTTAAACATAAAGTTGTCTAATTTGTTCTAATACTCCAGTATCTCTTTAGTAAGCTATATGCATTTGAATGGTTGTCGTTGAGAGTGAGAAATACAGGATCAGGGATTAGGTCGGTTTATTCTTGTGTGTTTTGTCAACTCCGAGATAAAAAATAAACTAGACCTCGTGATACGATATAACATTGTTATATTCATCTTGATGACTATTAGAGGAATCCATGACAGGCGGCTGGGACTCATAAGGCTGAATATACCTGAACTCCAGTCAGTGATATTGTCTCCACTGAGACTCGAACTTAAGCGGATAGCATCCGGCATTCATCAACAACCGCTTACGCTCGCTACTGAAGATCAGATGGCCAGAAAGAATAAGCAACAAGGATCTCTGGGAACGAACCAACCAAGAACCTATCACGCAACAAATATGCAGTGTAAGGAAGTGGAGATGGATCGGGCATGCACTGAGAAGGCCGATTGAGGACATCACGCGTCATGCCAGGTACTAGAGTGGAATCCCCATGGGAAGCGACGAGTTGGACGTCCAAGGGTGACATGGAGGAGATCGTGCGAGGAGGAAATGAGAGCTTCTGGGCTGTCGTGGAACCAGGTTTAAAAGATCTCAGAGAACAGAGTTCACTGGAGACGTGCTACTGAAGCCCTATGTTCCACTAGGAACCCATGGGACTAATAATAATAATAATAATCCGGCAGAATATTAGTGATGTTATAGTCATCATGGTAACTAGCAGTGTTATTGTTTAACATCAAACGTTTTAATCAAAGTAACTGAAAAACAAAAAATCTACACTTCTAACCTATTTATAACCATCAATGGAAATTCAATGGAACTTACGAAGATATGATTTCACCTGTAAGTCATAAGCACATATGGAACAATATCAAAATCTTGTACATTAACACTGTTACCGGGGTGTTTAAAAAGTATAACAAAAGCTGTATGTAAACTTACAGTATTTTCAAGTGGATAAAATCCCGAAAACTGTTTCCATCCAATTTTTTGATATTATTCCCAACAATAATTCTGTGACAGAAAGGCAGAATAAACAATATGCAGAAAAAAATCATTTAAAATAACATGAACAATTGTACAAAAACTAGAGAAAAAGCCGAAAAGGAGAAATATATTACCACTATTACCAACTGAAAACTACTCACACTGATATAAATATTTTTACAAAGTGAATTAAAGTCATCTGAACATCCTATTGTTCGACCATTTGGAAGCAGTTTCATGGGTGTATCGAGACAAGGTCATTTCATAGAAGAATCAGATCTCCAACACCAGCTGGACCTGAATAGCTGGCTAATGAAGCAGTAAGCGTAGTAATAAATCCATCTGATATGGCTATTTGTACTAGGTAAAAAGCTTGAAATCTGTACTAATAAGGTAAAAGCATTTATTACCCAACTTAATAAGAATTTTCTCATCCGCATGCCTACTCCTCAATCACAATCAGTATTCATCTAGTTCACGCTGTTTACCTTTACTTCCCAGTATTTCTTCATTGTTCAAGATCATAAGAACTCAAACAGATACATTGCCATGGTAGATTTAGCCATCACCAAGTGGTATTCATGATGAGTTTTATCCCAATGAAGATTATCACTGAAATGAATTGTATATACAGGAAAATGGAGATTTATGGACAACTTATCATTTTCCTAATAACAGTTTTCATTAATCAACAGTTATCAACAAGGTTTTACTATACGAATAGTTTTTCTGTTTATTAATGAAAATGAATTTCAATCACACACAAAAACACTGTGAAATCAATCAGAAATCAAATGATCCATTAATATAAGACGTTACGTTCAATATTGTGTTTAAATGGGTACAAAAACAGCATCAAACGTTTAACACAATTAAATCTCATTTGAAGAGGGAAGCTGTCATAAAGACGTGCTTAAATGCATTCTTTACATTCATTGTAAATGATATTACAAGGAAATAAAGATAAAAGACAAGATCTACCAGCAGAGTGTCAAGTTGATACCTTGGTTTCCTCCATCCGAGTTAAATAATCCATTGAAAAGTGTTTTGTTCACTTGATCAATACCATCATCAAGCCACAAAAGAGGCAACCAATTTATTAGGTGTTTACTTAATTTATGTCCCATTCTTTTGTACTGAATAAAGTCTACGTACTACAGGGATATGTTGGGTTGAATTAGTCACCTAACACCAGAGAAAATTCTTCAAGGTATCTGGATATCATTTTCTGGCACACATGCAAGTAAAGTACGAAATCGTTTCATATTAGGAAATACCTGATGAGTACTAAATACTCTGTTTTGTTATATTCACCTCAGTTATTTACCAGTCTCAATAAATCTTAGGTAAAAAGGGAGACATAACCGCCGTTGGTTTTAAAAAATTAGAGTGATATAAACTAAGTAGCTAGAAGTGACAAAATTCGGAAACTATATTCCAAAATAAAAACCAAGAAACCAATGGTCATACTGAGTAACACATCAACTAATGAAATGTGAGTTCAGTGTATGAAACATAATCTTGGCTTTTTGTGCTAGATGGAGAACTTCAATTGATAGAAAACCCTGCTACACATAGGTTTCCAGGTTGTTGGCACCCATCAGCGAGGTGCAACTGCAACTATGAGAAAATTGTTGTTCCGTCGAAGATTTTAACATGCACCATTCAGTAGTTAAGTCACAGACTCAACTACTGAGTTGTTTTGGTAATGACTGCTCCCTTGTAGGAATAGATTATGCACAATAGACGACCACCAGCAGATAACTGATGTAGTAGTTTGTCGATAAGCTTTTGGAATATGGCCACTAAGGGAAGTGACGACTCTGTCGTGAATAATATTCTGGTGTCATATGGTAACGTGCGATTGGCAGAATGACCCGAACCTAGACTTCACGTTTATTGTCAATTTACTTACAAAAATCACCGGTAAAATACGGTTCATTTTGAGAATTAAGAAGGAATTCAGCAGATTAAATAAAAATTTGATATCTTTTGTACATGAATCGATTTTTAGAATTAAATTGAAATTGGTTTTAATCATCCTTTTGCCTTTTTATTTGTTTTATCTGTCCAAGGTACCTTCATGTGTTTGAATACACTAATAAAAGAGTTTACACAAGTTTATTTCTAACAGTCACCTCGAAGTGACTTCTATCGTATAATTGTCAGATTAAAAGTCACTGAAGTTCAGTGTTTATGAAACAGTTATTCGATCTTGTTCTCAAACACATCTTCACCTCAAAGTTTAAAATAACATCAAAATGCTTCATTATCTCCATTTTTCAATCAGCTCCAAGACAGAAGTTGACGTTCTCCTCAAATAAAAACTATGAAAACAGTTACTTATCTTTTGAGTGGGTGATTTGTAAGACTTAATGCTTTATACCTGTCGCGGAATCACACTCCTGTCCATCCCAAACAAAATATTAAGCCGCATCATCCTGAAGAGAGATTAAAGGATTCACTAGATTTAAAACTACGACTGGAACAAGCTGGATTCAGGAAGTAGAAATCATGTGCGGACCAAATCGCAACGCTATGCTACTCAACATCATAGAACAGAGTATAGAATGGCAGTCCACTGTATCTGTACCTCAACTTGAAAAGGCCTTGGACAGCGTCGACCGAGTAGTAATTTGGAAACTGCTTCAACACTACGGATTAACACAAACCTTTATCAACCTCATTCAACAACATGCCAAGTAACTCACAAGGGGAAGCTCAGTGATGCTTTTGAAGTGAAGACAAGAGTGAAATAAGGTTGCCTACTATAACCCATGATATTCCTGATTGTGGTGGACTGAATCATGCAACAAACAGTGAGGAGAGAGAAGGGGAGCATACACTGGCGGCACCGGGGAAAAGATCCTAGAAGATTTTGATTTCGCCGGTGACTTGTGCCTGATGTCATATACACATACACATACACACATCTACAGGCAAAAACTAACAAGTTGACAGAAGAGCCAGGGAGCCAGGACGCGACTTCAAGTGAATGAGTATATAGAAGACAGAGGTGATGAAGATACCCAACCAACAACAACAGCATCAGCAACAACAAGCTGCAATCACCATCAACGGGAGAAACTTAAAGGAAGTAGCCTCCTTCACCTGTCTAGGCATGCAGGCGGCACTGACGAGGATGTCAAAGTCAGAATCGGAAGAGCAAGACAGGTGTTGATTAGCCTGAAACCAGTGTGGAGATCTGCACTGCACTCAGCATAAAACGTGAACTACATACAGATTTTCAACACTAATTCAGTCAAGTCAGTGCTACTGTATGGTTGAGAGACTTGGTGTGTTACGAAAGTGATTTCCAACAAACTGCAGACATTCATCAACAACTGCCTACGCTGGCTCCTTACTGAAGCTCAGATGGCCAAAATAGTCAAAATAAGCAACAAGGAACTCTGGGAACGAACTAACCGTGAAGCTATCGCTGAACAAATATGCAGTGTAAGGAGGTGGAGATGGATTGGGCATACACTGAGAGGGCCGATTGGGGACATCACGCACCAGGCCAGTTGCTTGAGTGGAACCCAGATGGGAAGAGACGAGTTGGTCGTCGGAGGTGAGAGTGACATGGAGATCGTGTGAGGAGGAAATGAGAGGTTGTGGGTTGTCGTGGAGCCAGGTTCGAAAGATTTCAGAGAACAGAGTACACTGGAGACGTGCTATTGAAGCCCTTTTTTCCATTAGGAACTCAAGGGACAAATAATATCATACAAATGCAGTGTACATCGTTGGTTGACGTGAACAGTAGTGACAAAAGTAAGTCGGTGAATTGAAATGAAAAAGGTTGGAAAGTATGACCCATTATTGGCGAATAATATCCTACTTATCTAAAGCTATATGGGAACAGTGGTCAGTTTTGAGCAGGGTTTTGTGTAAGATCTGCTGAGAAATCCTTACTCAAGGTGAAAAAGGTGTCGACCGATTTATATTTTTATGGGTCAGACCGTTTATAATAGTCTTTGGTGAAAATGTTTTGACATTATCTATCAACCAGCTCATGAAACACAATTACTCATCATATCTTAGCCTTTTCAATAATGTCTCTTCTGAAAACATGAGATAATTGTCTCCTAACTGCATCGTATAATTAATTTCTTACAAAGAACTAGTCAACTCACATCTTTGTTTGATAAAATAAATCCCAAAATGATTAAAGGGTAGGCAGTTTTGTCGATTAAAGAAGGGATTATTCACACGACTAAACATTATTCACTAATCGTAGCAACTTTGGTGAGTATTAATTTATATTCACTTCTAATTTTCACCCTTATTACGCAACACGGTTTCACTTATCAGGATCGACCCCATTACGTAATATATCATCAAAATCTGTTAGTGATACTACTAGCCGAAATCAACGTTAGCTAGCACATTTTTGATAATAATCAGCAGACGAAAATAATGAAGTTAGTGATTATCAAAGTGATTATTCTGTGATAATGATAAACGTTCGGTAGAAACGAAGAGTAAAATAGGGAATCTACAGTTTCAAAGTCTTCTGGTCCTGTGAATTTATTTCAGCTCGGTTAAAGATATTAGGTTCGGATGACCTTGAAACTGTCAATAAATTCTTAATGGATCATTTGAGTCCTTAGTTTCAGCTGATCAAATGAATGAGTTTCTATTATGCTAGATTAACTACTGCTAATCCTATTGTTGTCTACAGGTAACTAGATTTAGTACAGCATTCAGCCACTAAACTAAATGTTCGGGATCTGATGAATCCACCAAGGTTTAGAAAAGTTGCTAGCTTCATTAGCACTCACAACATAACTGAAAATTTCAAGTTGCTCGACCCCTCTTTCTGTGATTTTTCGGAATTCATTCATTTCCATTTCATAGCCCTTATGGCAAAATGAGATTCCACTATTAAAGAGAACTCACAAGTTTTAACTCGTAGATGTTAGCTTCTTCTTTTTAAAGTACTTTATTACCATCATTCTGTGATTGATAGACATTAATTGTTGAAGTATAAACGACCGTTATGATTCTAAAGTGTTGGTTATGTGTCT